TCTTTGTTTCTGGCAGCGTGTTAGGTGCAAGGGTTAATAGTGTAGTTAATCTCAGAAGTTAATAGAGTTAATCTGGAAAGTTCTTTGTTAGCATGAGTATGAAACAAGCAAGGACATAATTACTGTTTTGTGCAATGAGGTGCCACAGTAGAGGCCAGGGACACAGTTCTGTGAAAATGCAGAGTATGGGGGTCATGTTATGAGCTGGCGACTCTTAATAGCCAGTATTAATCATGGTTATAATTTTTTTATGAGTCGGGAATACAACCAAGGTCCTCATTTCACTTTTTTTGGTGTTCTTAGCACAGGGCTTGGCATATAGTAGGTGCTTATTAAATACTTGATAACAAAATGAGTGATGCTTTTTCTTATGAGAGAAAATAAATGTTTTTAGAAGAGTCAGCTTTATACCACAGTTTCAGGGAATGAATTGTGATGAAAAGTGAAGATTGCTTTTACTTGAAAGAGGCTGACAAATTTCCCAGACCCGGGATCGCTTTATGCGGTGCATGATTTAGGGGTGAGTGAGCATGCCAGAGCGCTCCACTTGAGCTGAGTGATGGGAAATGAGTTGTGGAGCTGTGGTCTTAGAAGGTATTTTGTGAAAAATAGTAGGAGATTTATGACTATTAAACAAGTTTGTAGCCTCCCCTTCTTGTTTTGAAGCCTGCCAAATCTCTTCTCCTGTGGTCTGTATCATGTTCCTTCAGGGCACCCGTGATGTTCAGAAATACCCACTGGAATGCAGGTTTCCGTGGAATGCACCCGATGGGAAGGGGCTTCGATTTGACACACACATCCAAAGACATTTGTTTTCTGTAACCACTGAGTGAAATTCTCACTTTGCAAGTCTCTTGTAGAACGTACTGTACTTTCATCAAATTTTTTCCAACGAGGTTGCCAAAGTTCTACCTTCCTTCCTGCACTATGGAAATTGCAGAATGCAGTATATTAGTGACTATTAGCATTATTGATGTGAGTTTAAGAAATCATTAGCAACTCTCAGATTGTGAGTAGGAGAAGAGTACGGAAACCTGCAGCCTGCTCTGACAAATCTGAAGCAGAAGGACTTAGCAGGCTGGAAGGAGGATTTCAGGCCTGTGCTGTTATTTACCAGCTTTTCCCATTCTATTGTCACACTCAATAGCTTTAGAAGAAACAGGTATTTCAACACAAAAAGCCAACCAGACATGGCTCTAATCCATGTCCTGCAAGTATTGGAGAATTGTTGGAGGAAGTTTCCTCTGTAATTATGGGTTCATATCAATGTAGGGCTGTATGGATCAGAGAGGAGTCCTTGTTTTTTTCAATTTTTGTGTTTAATTTTGAGAAATTCCAAAAATGTAAACATGTTTTTAAAATTTGGTAATTTTCTACTATTTTGACACTTTTATTTCAAATCATCTCTAAATAAAAATAAATCTTATATAAAAAATAGAAGCCCCCCTGCACACCATTTCATTAACTCTAATCCTATTACTCTGCCCACTGGCAGAGGCAACCATTTTCATGAATTTAATCTATTCTATAAGTTCTATAATTTTTAGATGTTTACATATACACATGAGATCAAAGAACCACATATTTACATAAATAATATTATACTACATTTATCACTTTCCAACTTGCATTTCCACTCTGTATTAAATTTTCAGACCTCCTCAAATTGAGACAGATAAATCAGGTTTATTGCTCTTAAATACGAAATATTATTCCATCATACGGATATACAACATTTTACTTATTCATTTCCTCATCGACAGACAGTTGAATTATTTCCAATTTGTTCTGTTATAAATAATGCTGCATTATTTATGTTCCACCTTACAGATCTGAGTGAAATTTTCCATAGTGTATATATTTTAGATGGAAATGCTGTCCCAATTTTCAATTTTATACATATTGCTAAATTAGTCTCCAAAGTATTTGAACCAATGCACATTCCCACTGGCAAGGAACGAGGGGATGGGAGCTTTGTTTCCTTTCCTTCTCTATGGCATATTTGAGACTTAACAGTTTGCCACTGAGATGGGTGAAAACAAAATTGCCTTGTTGTTTCAATTTGCATCACCTTTGGTCCTAGTAAATTTAACTATCTTCGCTGGTATTTATTGACCATTCAGGTTTTCTCTTCTTTGAATTGCCCAACATCTCCTTTGTCTGTTTTTCTATTGTAATTTACGGAGGGGCATATGTATTCTGGACACTAATATTTTATTGTAAGTCTTATAAATACCTTCTACCAAGGTAATAAGGTAAAGTAAAAATACCTGTTTACTTTAAAAGGTAAAACATAAAAGTATAATTCTTGCCACAGTTAGGAAATTTGGCGAGGACTCAAAGATTTGAGAGTATTTGTAGTTCTGAAGATTCAGATTTACCCAGATTTCTCTGTTCTCCCTTTAGGCATGTCTTCCTAACCCAGACAATAATTATTTCTCTCTCTCCACCTATGTTTCTGTTATCTCAATCATTATACGACGGGCATATTGCTTCAGTTTCAAGGGGAGTTCTTTATTCTTGGGGAGGTGGCATACAAATTTAAGACATCGTCTTATCTATTTCTTCTATATGATAATTGTGCTTTTCTGAACCATGCTTCTACACATAATGTTCAGAGACCAAGTGTGTATATCACTATGAAAAGATCACAGGGATTTTGACAAAAGCCAAGTCAAAGCCATGGTAGTGAGAATCTTGACTGGTGGTAGTTTCCTAAACATGCAGCCATGGGAGTCCCACCAAAAGATAAAGTTGGCAAAATTGTTCTTTCCTGGATTCTTTTCCATGACTTGAGTTTATAAATGGACACTGAGCAGAAAAGTAATTAAATGCTAGGCATTGGATGATGACTGCAAGGCAGAACTCAAGCCACACAATTTTTGCTTTGACTACAATTGGAAATGAAACTAAATAGCTATTTTACTCTTGGTTACAAAACTCTAATGTTTTGCCCAGTCAGAGGTATTTGCTGAAAGGTAGTTTCTTCCAGTCATTTTAGGAAAAGCTGTCATTAAATTGTCAACAGCCCAAATTGAGATTAAAAGTACTGAGAAACATTACAATATAGCAACCTAAGATTCATATTGGAATTTTAGGTTTTTTTTAGCAATGAAGTGGAGCAGAAACATTGGCAGAGAAAGAAGCTAAGGCCTCTTAAAAGGAAGCATGGCAGATCTGCAGAAAGAAGGCCTCCGTACCCCCACCCCATGGGTCCTGCCCCTAGCATTTGAATAGATGCCATTTTTAAAACAGTCACTGTGTCTCATTTATCACACGGGGATTACAGGAGACCTTGGATGCCAAATGGAGAAACACATGGTGACTCTAGTATTTGAATTTTAACCCCATTTCTGACTCTTTTATATCATTGCAGCATCCTAAGTGTCTAATGATGTAGTACCTAGCAAGTCTTATCTACTTTTTAAAACATTTTTCTGGGTAACTGAACTTTTATCTTTCTGGACCCAATACCCTTGAATCAAGTTTAAACAGCACATATTTCCCTTGGAGCTGGAGTGAGGTAATGCTACCTGAAATCTGTCTCCACCTTAGGGACAGGGCTTCTGATCTCGCACCATTCAGAACTCTTTATATAAGTCTCCACTGAAAGCTGCTTAATCAAACATCTCAAATGTCAGAAACGGGCTTTACAGGGTTTTTCTAGCAAGTAGGTCTAATCTCCTACTTAGTTTTGATTCCTGTAATGTAGATAATCTCTTCGGAGAAAAGGCCTGCTCCTAGCAGGGCAAATATATCCCATAGAATGTATTTCCTATTCCAGAAAGAAAAATGTAGCATTAATGAAGTTTACTTTTTCATGAAGCTTGGAAAGGTTGTAAGCTTAGGATTTTGATCCTAGCAGATGTTCTTTCTTTTTGGTGTTTTTTTTTTTTTTTTTGGACATTAAAAAAAAAGTGGCATTTGATTCAAAAGTCTCAATGAGAGTTGCAATGGTGATACTTTTGCTGTAAGAAGCCACACTCTGAGTGTGACGCTGGTCATCGGTGACAACTGACTTCACAGCCATGGCCCTTTCTTGCTACCTCAGCCCTCGTGGAAGCAGAGTAAGCAAAGAGAGGGTTAGTGGCCTGGGTCACACCATACGCAGAGTGTGATGCTTAAAGAGCTGTTTGTGTACAATAAAAAAGCATCTTCATAGACGTATTTCATATCATTTTCTTATAGGCCTTGGAATAGCAAAGTTTTGTTGATAACCATTATATTTCAATTTCACTTGGGTTTCTTTTTTTTCTTTTAATATATCTTTATTGATTCCAGAGAGAGGAAGGGAGAAGGAGAGAGAAACATCAATGATGAGAGAGTCATTGATCGGCTGCCTCCTGCACGCCCTCGACTGGGGATCGAGCCCACAACCCGGGCACGTGCCCTGACCGGGAATCAAACCGTGATCTCCTGGGTCCTAGGTGCTGAGCCACGCCAGCCGGGCTCCCTTGGGCTTCTTGTTAAACGGAGCCAACAGCCCCGTTGCACGGCCTGCAATGGCTCCTACCCTTTCCCAAGATCGCTGCTTACTGCGGGCTTAGGGCTTCACCTTCCCTGTCTCCCTGCCACTGGCCCACGGAGGCAGCCCAGCTTCCCCTCTGCCCTGGGAGCAGAGCCCGGCGTCTTCCCTGGTTTCCACAGAAACCCACAGCCGAGCATGTGCTCTGTGGGCATTACTGGGGGAAGGCATGTGCTAGAAATCGAAGTCTGCCCAGCTCCTGCCTTCAGCCTCCTTCCTCCCTTTTCCTTCAGCTCAGCACCATGAACAAACAGCCCCCTTCTCTCAGAGCCCCCACCTGTACCGAGGCCCCTCGAGGCTGTGTAGTCTACCCTACAGTCACCAGTGTCTTATCTCAACACACACAACTCCTGCTTCCTAAGAGTCTCGGTCAATAATATTTTCTGCAAACCCAGAGCCCGAGGAGACATGTTTGGTAAACGAAGGTACTTAGTGTTCAGCGTTGCTCACGTTGACATTTGCTCTTATCACGCAGGCCTCCAGTGACAGCATTGCTGCCTCCCCGAAGGGCCAGTACACGCCCCTGCCTTCTGCCTCCAGGGAACTCACCAGCCACCGAGGTAGGAGCTCGGCTTTTTATCGCTCTGTGACCAAGGGGTTACAGGGAGGGACACTTGCCTGTGCACAGCTCTGGGCTCGGGGCGGCTGCCTCGGAACTTTAGCAGGAACACAGTGCTGTTCCTTCCAGTCCTTGATGAGAAAACCGTGCCTGTCAGCCCAGCAACTTGAACTCATATTAAACAGAATTTAGTGGCGGTCTCCTGGGAAGGCAAATAAATCCATGGTATAATATAAGTTTTCATTAAATAAAGAGATTATAGTACTTAAAAGTTTCTAAGATAATTACCTCCAGCAAAAGGGATGAAGAGAGATAGGGAAACTCACTAATGTTTGTAAAAGTATCATTGTTTGGGAGTATAATAGTTGAAATCTGTAATTTAAAAATAAATGAACTCTATATTACAGCTGAAAGGAATTTCAGTTGGCCTGGAAATATTGAAGGGGATCAATCTGTAGTTTTCCCTGAATTCTCTGATCCCCAAAACATTAATTTGGCTTCCCCAGTTTTTCCAAAGCCTTGAATTACTGTTGCCATCTCTAAAGTCGGTATGGAATATAACTTAAAAATGTTTAATTTCTAAGCTGGCTGCTTAGGCCCAGAACCATGTGATCCCTTTTGTTGGGATTGGTTAGGACAGGATGAGGCCATGCGGTGTAACCTGTGTACCCCCTTTTAGCCTGGTCATGCCTACAGCCACGCTTCCTAAGCGTGAACCTACTTTCCGGGGTGAGTAGAACAGGCTTAGACTGAGGGCATTGCATACTTTAAACATCGTTTCCCCAAGCAGCACATTCTCTTTGCACACGTGGGGGACCCTGAATAATGATAGTCCAGCTTTGTCATCCCAGCGACATTGCAGGGCTGGTGGGTGGGAGGAAAGGCTGTAGAGATGCCCTGAAAGGGGCGGAGCTGCTCTGAAAGGGGCGGAGCTGCTCTAAGAGGATGTAGGCTATGGGCAAATGGCACATTTCTGCAGGAAATGATCCAGAGAGTCATGGCAGGTTCCCGTTGTCTGTGACTTGGGCTTGTGTTGCATCTTTGATGTCTGGGCACAGTAGAACTTTTCTACATTTAAATATATGTTGGGTCCATTAAAGTTCAATTGTGATACTGTTCATTACATGTCAGTTTTGTGAGAAATAAATTTTGCTGTAAGTCAGGTAGAATAAATTGCTGCCAACATGTTGTATTTTCAGAGGCATGAATAGGTCTCCCTCACGAAATGTCCTTATGAAGGTTTTGAGCATATCCTTTTAGAGACTTTTAAAAAAATTCCCCTAGGCAAATAATAATGCCTAATCTGGAAAGAATAACAAATTAGCCCTAGCATCATATCATCACAGATGTATTTGTTGGTCTCTTGTATTTGAATGAAGGTCATTTTACTGTATACAGCCTGTTGAATATCTTGAGTAGGAACTGAAGTCTTAGAGCCCTCTGTTCCACCTGTAAATGCTGATATGTCCATGCAACTGAGATTTCACAACAGGGGGACATGACCAGGCAAATATTAATCATGCATAAGATGAAGATCACCTGTCATTGTAACAGTAAAACAATAAATCTGAACCTTGAAGAGATGGAATATAAGAAAATATGTCTTGAAGATACTATGAGTAATATTTGGAACATGGAAAAATAGCTAAGGTGGTTAGAGTGACAAATACGTACTCTTGGGTGACATCAGAGCCCAACATCAATGGGAAAAATGTGATTTAAAGGGAGCCAACAACAGAGGTCTTGCTTTTTTTGAGGAATATTTCTATATATTTATTGAACGTGGTGACTGATCAGTGCTCAGGACTGGGAGGTGGTAAAAGCAAGTCAGCATCATAAAAAGATGGCCAGGACTTTTGGACCTATGGTCATGAGGAGACCAGTAAAGAGAGAGGCAAAGAAGCTCATTAAGGCTGAATTATTATTGGACTGATCTATGCAGGGGGAAGTGATGAGACTGATATATTTCAGCTTGGCAAGAATCATACACCAACCAATGGGGAAAGCCATATTTTTTGGCACCCAGGACGAAAATACTTAGTGTCATCTTTTAAAAAATATACACATTTAAGTTAAAGAGATTATCCTGAATTTCTGATTGTATAAATTGGCCAGCCATTGGAGTGTCCCTTGTCAATACCCTCATGGAAACAGCTTGCAAACCTTTACCCAGGGAGGTACGTTCACGCTGTGAAGGTAGATTACATCAGCTCTCCCAGGTGAAACCCTCCACGGTGTCTGAAGCTCGGTCCTTAAAACCTTAAGTGGAAGTTCTATTTGCAAATAATTTTTGATTCCTCCAATTCCCAATCTCTTTTCATTCCGCACCAACAGGTACACAAACTGGCGGGCAGCAGTTCATGTGAAAATTGCTGTTTTTCAATACATGCCATTTCCCTTTACTTGTCCTTTTATGTAACTTCCAATGTCGAGTATGATGAGACCTAGATTCATGCCCTAAGAACTCTACGTTCAAATGCAAGGGAGGTCGGGCCCAGGGTAATGATCGGGAGACGGGGACTCTGTTTTCCCATCTGTAACTCAGATAATCCGCACGTCCCAGGGACAGTAGTGATGTGCAGGGCTTTCTGCTTCCTGGAGGACTTTCTTTTTTTACCTTACCTGTTTTGAGTTTTTATAAGTAAATGTTTCTATTAGTGCAATTGTCCATATTGTGCTTTGTGTGGTAGAGGTCAGGTAAATGTGCAGAGTGAACTTGTCATAGATGAAAGCTCCCCGAGGGGCAGCACAGACTCAGATCTTTCTTGTCTTGCACACCACTGGCTCCCGCCCATTCCTCAGGCATCAGCTTAGCTGTCACAGGTCCGGGAGGACTCTCTGGTCCCACTCTACACATTTGCGTTGGGCCAGGTTTACGGCCTCAGGGACCGTCTCCCGGGATAAGCTGCGGCGCCTGGGAGGGGTGGGGGAGACTGTCTGTATGCTCACCACTGCATCTGCCGTGCCTGGCTCAGGGCCTCCTACTTCATGGGAGTTCGTTAAATATTTGTTCAATAAACTACAAGCGATAGAAACCCAGGGGGAAGTCAGTAACTCAGATACGTCTGCAAGGTAGCGTGATTGTCTCTGAGGAAAGAGTGCCACCTTCCTTGGGGGGTGAGCACATCCTGAGCGAGCAGCCAGCCCCGTGGGCTCAGACCACAGCCCTGCTGCTCTCCGAAACCCGGATCCTGTGCGTGGAAGCCACACCTGCTGGTTCACTTCCAGGCAGCAGTCAGCCGCATTGCGTAATTTTTGAGAAGATAATTATTTTAATGTCATAGGTTACTCTGTCGCAGTTAAACTCTGGTGTTTTTGTGTGTGTTTTTTTAATCTTTGCCCAAGGATATTTTTTCCATTGCTTTTCAGAGAGAGTGGAAGGGAGAGAGAGAAACATCCATGTGAGAGAGACACATCGATGGGCTGCCTCCTGCATGTGCCCCGATGGGGCTGGGGATGCCATGGAGGTGCATGCCCTTGGCCAGAATCGAACCTGGGGCCCTTCAGTCCTCGGGCCGATGCTGTAGCCACTGAGCCAAACCGCTGGGGCTAAGCTCTGGTGTTTTGATAGTAGAAAGGGAATAGGATAGATGGAAGCAACTAATGGAACTGTTTTACTAGAACAGAAGCCCTCAAAGAAGGGACTGAACGCTCAGTGTGATGTAGGCTGTGGTATCGATACGGTTTTAGAATGGTCCCCCTGAGTCCCTCTGAGAATCCCGCTCTAGGTCTGAGCATGTCTTCATAGTATGAGGGACGTGGGGCTGTGTCCGTGATCTCAGCTGCTTCCTAGTGGCAGTTCACGTACTGTATGCTCAGTGGGCATCTATATCATGAAGAATGTTGAAATGTTTGTTGGAGAAATATCTGTAAATATACTATGTATGTAGGACATACCCTGGAAGCCACGTATTTCCACTTTTTATCTGGTAGCTGTTAGAAGTAGAATTTGCATTTATGTGGACTGTGTGTCTTTGGGGGAGGACATTTCTGTTTAGAGCACAGGCCATGTCATCCTAAGACAACCCTATAAAGTGGGAATATTATTATTCCCATTTAACAGAAAGACACAAAGAATTTCTAGGGGAGACTGAGTCACTCAGCAGCCGAGGCAAGGGGAATAAACTGAAGCTCCCTGCCCTGGATTCCCAGGCCGACCCTGCCACTGGTGCTTCACACAGAACATGTGGGGTGAATGCAGGACTGACTGTGGCATTGTGCTGGAGGGAAGAGGAGAGAAAGTGTCAGGCGAGGCACAGCCTGGGGATGTCCACTGCTGGCTGGATTCCCGTGGCCTGTGCTCGGCCTGCAGAGAAGCACGGCATCCTTGCCTATTTCTGTCAAAAGAATTGCCTGTTATGTCCCTCCCCCCTCCTTCTTTTAAATGACACTTCTCTAAGTTCTGGACAGAGAAAGTTTGAGAAACCAAAGAGGAAAATGCTATGGTGTCGGTCTGAATTGAAACAGGGAAAACAGAGGACACGCTATATATTCAAGTTACGAAGGGTTTTCATGTAAGGAATGGGAGACTTACACAATCAGGGAAGGACTGAGTCAGGGACACTGACACCTCGAGTCTCAGACTCTGATAATTCTCAAGAACTTGCTGAAGTTTCTGGGTATCTGAGGAACCCCCAGGAATGTCCTACTGAATTTCTAATCTGCAGCAACATTGGGGGTGATTCCCAGGAAGTTCACTTGGATACTGCTTCAAACATTAGGAATGTCCATACATTACCTGTCCTTCCTTCTCTCGGGATTCCCAAATCTTACTCCAGTATCTTTGTTTGGTCCACTTGAACCTAGAACCAAGCACCAAGGGAATTCTGGGAAATGTAGTTTTCAGGTTTTCCTCTGAGTTGTAGTGAAGACCTTAGAAGAGGACAGTGTTGATACCTGGTTAAAATAGACAATCTGGCACATCTACCGTAATCCTAGAGGTGAGGCCAACAGCTATGACGCTGAGGGGCCCATTCCAGTTTATTTGCACACACATTTGGC